ACTCTATTTTTGTGAATTTTTTAGCACGCAATAGATGGTAATTAAGCGGTCATAGCGAGTATATGCTTGTTTGTCTAATAGTTATCTTCTGGGAGCTAAAATATGTTTAAATCTGCAGGTATCCATAAAATTTTGCCTACTGCTACATTAATCTTCTTTTACAGGTTTTTGCTCTTGGTAAGGAGCGATTATTCCATGCGGACAGCGGACGCAACTTGCGTCCGCTGTCCAACGAGTTAATTTTTTTTTTAAAAAATTATATTGGGGCCCACTGACATACACTTTTGGTAGGAGAAGAATTTTAATTGGTTCACCGTACGCATTTCTGCATACGGTGAATGTACCTAATAATTTTTCCTTGGTAAGGGAGCTGTAACTTCTAGTTGGCGGTCTTTTATGCTTGCTTCTTACAGTATCATTAGACCTCGCAGAAGCACACACAAACTCGTGACTTGTGTATAGACTTATAAAGGGAGCTTTTGGCTCTTTACCTGCCGATGGGAAATTGTCATTCGACTCGTATTCCATTTTCTTTCCTTTTGGAGTATATTTTCATCTTTGAGCTTCCAAAATTTAATTTAACTAATCTGCTTCTTGTTATTAAAACTAGGCATGGTGCATAATTCGTGCATTCTATATTTGTTTGTTTCAATCATGTTATAAATTTTCTTAATGTATGAACCTGATGCTAAGATGCAACTTTTCCACAATTTTGGCTCTAGAAGTAATAAATTTTGTGAGTGCTTAAATTTATCTTTTATACTAAAAAAAAATTCTGATGACTTTAAGTCTAAGCCATTTTAAAGACATTATTTTTCTGCTATTGTTAATTGAGCACTATATTTTTCATTCCTTCATGTACTTCTAAACTATATATAGTAACATTTTATAATTTGTTTTCCGCCAATTTGTTATAGGGTAGATCAATATTAATTTTGTTGATTCTTCTTTTGTTATCTGTTTAATCACAATTTTACCACTAAGTGTTGAATGATCTGCCGGAGTAACCCAAACCACAATAAAAGCAGAAATGTTATTGCTGAAATTCAAATAGGTTTAAACGACAACTTTTCAAACAGGAAAGAAATGATAACAAATATAAAAGGATACATTAGGGCGACGACGGAGGTGGTGGATGACTGCGGAACAGCAGGTAGGTTTCAGATTAGGAGGTTGAGGCAGTAGCTTGAGGACGTTGAGGGATGCCGCAACAGGGTAGAGGGTAGGAGGGGGCTACGGCAACAGGTGTGGTAGCTGGAAGGGTTGCCAGCATATATTCGAGTGTTGGGATAGCTAACGGCGCAGGAACAACAAAAGAAAGTGGTCGCCAACAATAACTGTGAGTGCTGGGAAAGCTGATGGCTGCAGTGGACAGCAAAGGAGGGGGTTGCCGGCAATAACTACATCTGCTGGGAAGAGGCTAACTGTAGCAGGAAGGTGGGCGAGGGCTTATGGCAGGACAGAAGGGGGTGCGTAGCAGGTGTGGCGTTGGAGAGGGCTACAGCAGCAGAGGGAAGAAGATTACTGCTGCGGTTAGGGAGCTTGGAGTGCCCCGTGGCCATAGCAGAAGGGGTGGGAGTTGGGGGAGGTGGTGCTCGGTCGAGGTTGACGGGGATGAGATTAACAGCCGAAAAAAGCGGCTGTGAAAGGCTGACGGGGTTACTTGGAGGGGTTGGGCTGGGATGAAATCATCGGCAGGAAAGCGGGAGGAGCACGTGTTTGGCAGCAACTGTAGGAGAAGATGTGCGGAGTAGGTCGAGTAATCACCACGTGGGGGGGAGAGGAATGCGGCCGGAGCACAATCCAATCCGTCGGATACAATCCTAGACCCACCCTCATTCTCCATCAAACCTGGGTGATTGTTGTTTGCATATTATTTTTCTTTATTTTTTTCACCATCCATGTTACTTTTAGGCTAACCTTTTGCTTGATAATCCTTTTACATATTTTTTTCTAACATTTATGTGCATCTTCCACTCTTCATTATGCCTGCATTAAGAATCCTCGTTTGACCTGGTAAAATGAAATTAATGAGGCTAAGTCAGTTGTCCTATTTCACACCATTGATTGTTTGTCTGTGAAGGACGGCGAACCGCAAGGAATGCAGCAATCATATTCTTTTTCAAACGGCTGCATTTCTGCTCATACGAAGATCTGCATTTTGACATTAATAAACTTTGTGTCTTTTCTTTTTGGCATAATTATATCTGTAGATGTACCTCTACACACCCTGAGAGGACAAAATGGTTTTTTTTCCTCACGTAGAAGCCTCATGTCACTTTATATAGTGGATTGTTCGACAGTAAGCTTCTTAAAATGAGGCATATATTTTTTGTAATCTATGATAACAAAAAATTTCTAATTAATGAGCCGTTGGACACGTATTAGACACAACTCCGACACATGTTAGACACGACATAGAAGTGCCTAATCTACAGAATATTAAAAAAAAAACTCGTGCACGGCACGTCCTAAATCAATGAATTAAAAATATTTTTAAGATAAAAATTATAAAATATATTTTTTTTGTATAATTTAAGAAATATTTACATACACATCAGTCAATTTTTATGTATTTACATATCTAACACCTACATTTCAAAAATTTTCAGTGCTACCCAACTGTTAAACGGTTATTTGTGTAGAGCATTTAGTTCTTTACTTGGCTACCAACTGGACATTATATATAATTTTTTGTTACGCTTTTACTTGCTCCTTTTTGGCCCAATCAAAAGTTCTTCTTTTATGTGATTGGGTAGATTTTTTTTTTTTTTTTTCATTTAAGATTCATATTATAGTTCTATATCTTTAACAGTCAACTACATGGTATAACCATTTTATATTTTTTTGTCAGAAGTATTTTGTTCATGTGAACCATTCTGTCAAGCTTAATTTTTACTTGAACAATTTTGTCATTGTGAGTTCTGCTAATCATTCTCAATTATTTTCAGTGCAACCCAAACTGTTAAATGTTTTGTGTAGAGCATTTAATTAGATGGTACAGAATGTTCTTCTTTTTAATGTTGCGTTGTGTGTTCCTTATTAAATACCAGACAATGTATCTGTGTGTGTGTGTGTGTGTGTGTGTGTGTGTGTGTGTGTGCGCGTGTGTGTTACTATTTAGTGCACGAAATCCCAACGGTGTGTTCTTCCTGCCAAAATCGACGTCGTGGACGGGTTCACGCGGTTCGTTTGGTCATTCGAGATCTTTTGGACAAATTTGTAAATGCCAGTTATGTTTAACTAATTTTTTTGAAAATTATAGTTTTTTTGAAAATTATAGTTTTTTTCTTTAAAAAAAAAAAAAGTATCCAACCAAATTTGTTTTATATTTTTATTTTTTAAAAATACATAAGTCCTAAAAGTACCAAATGCGTTTTTTAATAATAGAAAACAAAACAAGCTAAAATTAAAAATAAAAATAGAAAACAGAAAGTGATGCCAAACTGACCCTTATATTTTGACTACTCAACATTAACTCTAAAAATGTAACGTATATAAATAAATTCACATGTATAGTTAATGTGTTTGGTAGAACCAACATACTTATAACTTTCATACAAAGGTATCACTTAATTTTATACTAATATTGATTCATAATTGTTAATTTAATGTTTTGTAAAATTACAGAACCTATAAATAACCTCCATTCTACTTTTCGAAGCCTTTTATCACCTAACCTCTGTACTTTATAATTTGCTTTTTATATTATTAGCACAGACTTCAGTGAAGCATAAACCAAAGTTCCTCACTTCTATCATTTTTTCAGTATTGAAACTAAATTTAACCTGCATAGCTTCTTTCTTAAATTTTTCCTCCTAATGTGAAATTTTTGACAACCAACTTATTATGATACTGATCAATTGAAGCCATCTAGTTTAATCTTGAATCCAAGGTTTTAAAGCTGTCACTAGGCAGTCTGAAGTTACACATGCATATATGCAATATATTTATATTTTTTTTTACTTTGACGGGGGGAATGATTTTTTTCCTTGCAATTTATTTCATCTGTCGCTTTAGATAACCTCGAACCTTAAGATCATATCCTTGATTGTGACATAAATGACATAAGAATTACATTTGGATTGAGTTTCATCAATTTTTGTGGTGATTTAACCATTTGAGAAGTATTTAAAAACTATGAGGATGGTATGATGACATTATAAGCCTTTTTAAAAGACCAGTTTTATCCATGTGCATTGCCTATCAAAACAATCCACTTCATGCAAAACATCATCAACAACAAATGTATTTGAGTCCAAGCCAGTGAATGTTACACTTTAAAATTGAATTAATCTTCTCATACAACCAGAGCACTCAGTATAAAAGTTTGATGTGTTTGATTGATGATTAAATGATCCAAAACTTTTCTTGAAATTGTGCATGCCACTAATTTTAATGATATTATATGTTCCATTTAATAGGCATAATTTTTATAACACATAAAAATCCACTTGGGTATAGAATGGTAATTCTCCTCCCAGGCACAAAATTTCTCTCTCCATCTGTGTGGGGGCGTGTGTATATCTAGTGACCATTCTCCTCCCAGGTGAAAAATCCATATCTCTCTCTCCTCTGTTTGTGTGGTGTCTGTGTGCCCAATGATTATGTTTTGAATTGAAGGGAATTTTGATTGGGCTGCAGAATTAGATTGTCGTTTGTTCCCGTGTAACTGGGCTATATCACAAATAATACTAGGCATAGTAATGTGGTGATAAAATAAAGAAGTCTGGATTTCTTCACGTTCTTTGTTGAACTAAAGTTTTTGGGGTTTGCCTTTGTGGCTGAGGAGGATGTGTTAGGGAGAGAGGGAGTTTATGTTTAGATTAGAGAGAGAGGGAGTTTATGTTTATATTAGAGAGAGAGGGAGGGAAGTGCATTTACCAATCGTGTGTTACTACTTGATTTTATATGTTTTTGTGGGTAATATCTAGTGCTAAACTGCTTATCACATCACATATTTAAAGCTACCACCCAAAAAATTGCAATTCTTTTTCCAGGATGCTGTGAAATCTGCACCGAGCTTCAAAGAACCCAAGGATGATAGTCGTGTTCAAACCATACTTAATGGAGATTTAGCTGATCCAGTAATGGATTTGGATAAGATGAATGCTGGCAGTGATAACCATAGCAAGCCAGATGTGACAGATATAACCTCTGTTCCTTCCTCTGCTTCATGCTCTCCTAGTGCCAGGAAGGCTGAAGTCAATTTGAAAATTGAAGCTACTGATGATCAAGCAATTGAAAATTCAGATTTTCCTGGCCTTATTCCTGGGGGAAAGCAGTGTGTCATGGATGAATTACCCCAAAATCAGCTGAAGGCAAAGGATTGCTCTTCAATAATTTCCGATGAATCTAAAACTATGAGTACGCAATACGAGGAACAGAAATCTCAGATGTTGCAGAAAGGTGCTGATCATCAGGAATGTTTGAACGCTTCAGGGAGTGAACCGGTGCTACATGAGGTAATGATGGACTCTCCGGGCTCCTTGAAAAGATGGAAATGTCCTGTTGAATCAAACAATGTTTCTAAATTCAATTGTGCAGCTTCTGGGAAATCAAATGCATCGGACCCACCTAGCCATTCAGTCCCTATTGTTCAGAAGGTAGTTGGCATTGGAAAAGAGTTATTGAATTCAACACCTCCAGTTGGCTCCAAATCAACAGTTTGCGGTTATCAGAATTCAACAGCTAATGTAGTGTCATCCCCTCTTTCTGGGAGGGCTTTTCATACAGTGAAGCAGCAGAGAGTAAAGGTGACAAACTGTAGCGCAGGAACTAGAGATGCTTTGATGACTTCTACATCTGGCAGTGATGGTGAACGGGAAGTTCTGCCACAGCCAGCACTGGTTCATCCTACTGCAGCAGAATTTATGGGATCAAAATCTTTCCATTCCCTAAGAATTCTTCCCTGGAATCTAAAGAACAGCCATCTGGTCCATCTTGCCAAGCTTCCGCTGAAAAACACGCAACAACTTCAGCTGCTGTTGAGAAAACTACGTCACTGGTTCAAACTCCATCTAATCAACATAAGGCAACAGCTTCAGGTTCATTCCAAAAAAATGACAAGATAATCCAACCTAGCACTCAGCCAGCGTCAAAATTTCTGAGTCACTCTGTTATGCAAACGTCAGTTTCAACAAATGCTGCCACTACGCTGAGTGATGAAGAGGTGAGAAAACTTTGGCTTTTTCTGTAATTTTCAGAATATAATTGTGACATCAATGATAATTAATGTTTTGTGTTCCGTTCTGCCAGCTTGCTTTATTGTTGCATCAAGAATTGAACAGCTCACCTAGAGTTTCTAGAGCGCCTCGGATGAGACAAACTACAAACACACAGTTTGCAGCTCCAAGTACCGCTAGCGGGCTATCTAAACGTTTATACTCTGGGGGAAGAGATCAAGTTTCGGTTAGTGACCTGTTAGAACATTGGGAAATATACATAGATACCGCACTAATTTTATTTATTTACATATCTAATACCTAAATTTTGATATAAACATTTATATAACACATAGGTATCATAAACCTATTGATGAAAAGTAGTATTTCTGTTTTAAAACGTTACTAATAGTGGTATTTTTGATGCGATGCTATGGATTTGAGTGGTAAGCATGTAAATATTAAAATTTATGTGTTACATATGTAAATATATTAGAATTGTATGGTATGTATGTAAATGCCCCTAGAAAATATTGTTCGTTACGGACTACATTGAAGCTAATCATAGTTCTTTGGTGCAGTGGCTAATGCCCAATCAATAACTAGCAGCTTGATTTGCTTCGTTTTAGGGTTTATCGAAATTTTATATTTTCTTCTGCAGTTTTTTAGAAGAAAGCACAAAGAAGAAGCAACCAAAGAGAGCTCTCGTCGTTCAAGGGATGCGGTCAGTGAAGGCAAGAAGATGGTTAGGCAGTCGCCTGAACCCAAGCAAGAAGAATCAGGGGTCTTTGGTGATGGTTTTGCTAAAAGGGGCAAAGGAAGTAGAGCTTACGATACATCTTTGAAAACTAATGTTCCAGGTACTTCTAATGAAGGTGCAAGCAGCTTCGCTCCATCGTCTGAAGACAATGGAGCAAGGACATCATCACAAAACTCATCCGCAAATGTTGATGGGGATGCAACCCTTGTAGGCCGTAGTTTGCCTTGTATGTTTTTTATTTGCTTCACCGAACTAATAAATGTTTCTAACCATCCCTGATTCTGTTGATTTACGCTTTTGCAGGCTTAATTGATGAAATCATGAGCAAGGGAAAGTGTTCCACATATGAGGAGCTTTGTGACGCTGTTAGGCCGGTATAGCACACATTCCTGAGTTTTCCTGAATGTTTAGTTTTCCACTTTTATTTTGGGAAATGTACATACCACACAATTCATATCTAATATCCAAAGTTTGATATTTATATTTTATAACATCTTAATGTTGTAAACCTGTGCATGAAAATATGTATTTTACTTTTGTAAGGGTAATGCTTGCGGTATTTTTTTACGTGATTTTAAAGATTTGAGTGTTGAACATGTAAAAATATGAATGTTTAAGTGTTAGATATGTAAATACTGAAAATTGTGTGTTATGCATGTAAATACCCCCCCTTTTTTCTCTGTTTCTCATTTTCTATCTTTATTCAGTATTGGCATGGCCTGCGGAAGCCAAATGGAGAGCGTTATGCATATTCTAGTCACTCTCAAGCTGTTCTAGACTGTCTGAGGAACAGGAGCGAATGGGCTCATCTCATCGATCGAGGTCCGAAGGTAACTGTTGATGATTTATTCTCTCTCCTAAAAATTTATTCATTGAATATCTATTGCGTCGATCATATCAATGAAAGGGATTTACCAATGCTTCCATTTGTTTGAAACAAACCTTAAGCTGTAGTATTTGAAATCTTTCTATGACCACAAGAGATGAATTATTTTCATGATCTCTTACATTAGACCAATGCAAGCAAGAGGAGAAGGAAGCATGATTCCGAAACCCCTGTCATGGAATTGGAGCATGACCAGAACAGTAATCCTCAGAGAGAGGATTTTCCAAAGGGAAAAAGGAATATTCGGAAACGCCGCCGATTGCTGGAGCGGGGGCTTGGGGGCACAAGAGAGACCAAAAACACACGCAGCCAAGGCAACTTATCAGACGATGATCCTGCAGCCCTATCCCAGTCGAGCAACGAGGAAAGCGACAACAATGGAGGCGACACTTGCAGCTCGAGCTCAGCTGATTCTGACTGAGGCTCTGGTGCAGGTAAAAATTTCCCAGTTTTTGCAGCAACTTTGTTTATAAACGAGCTGGGTGTTCAAATATTGAAATGTAGAGCCAAAACGCACATGATTGATTGTGTTAGGTTAGTGTAGAATAGAGTGATTTTGCTGTAGGATAATGTACTTGATTGAAGTGCCCAATTCTTTTTGGGTTATGGTATAGCGTAGTAAAGTAGGAGTAACAGAAATACTGTGTTATGTATATTTTGTAATATTGTATGTAAAATTTGATAGTTACCCTCTACTTGTTAGAGCGCAGGGCAGCTGAACTACAGTGAACATGAAGCAGTTGCTGTTAAGACCGGGTGATTTCTTTCGAACCCAGCCTGAGTAAATATCAGAATAACATTGTCGTTGTCAGTTTTAAGCTTTCTCGTTATAAAATTATCAAATTTCAATTTAAATAGTGTTTGCCAAGGATTTTTGGATAAGCTAGATTGCCTGTTTTATGAAAGGCCTTGTTTGTCTGAGCGAAGATTGACTTTAATATGTGATCATCGGAAATATAAAAAATGTGAATACTAGGCACGTGTGGACTTAAGTAGGGCTTCACTTTGCTAAATACTTGTGAGATAATTCATTGGTTATGAAATTTCATAATAATTATTTTTGGCTAAATAGAGAATAACTTGGTTATCAACTAGGGTGGTTTTATTATCGTTTTGTTGCACCAGTAGCTGTCTAAAATTGATTGTCATAATAATCAAGATTAATTAAGCATACCAGTTAGTAATCAATTATAAACTGGTATAATTATTGATTTTCAATCGTTAAAGTATAAAAACTAAGCCTAAGGTAATCAAATGGTAAATTAACTACAGAATATTTGAGCTATGAATAATTTCTATTGCATATTAACTATCATTTTGATTATCTAATCATTTAAATTATGCTGGCCTTTCTACGCCGCGAATGTGATTTTTCAGCTGGACCAATGTGGCCCAATTAGAGCATACTAGTCGTTAACAGCCCAAGGTCCATTGATTTAGGCTAATTTCACAATTTCACTAGTACAAGCTAAGCTCATCAATTGAGCTAAAACTGCTTAATTTATTCATTCGAGATTCAACAAACCCTAACAAACCTATGTTGAGTATGGCGCCCTCTGTCCTCCGCCAACTCCCGCCTTCACGCGAAGGTAAGCTTCGATTCGCGAATCTAAGCTTCTTCCCGCCTCCCGTTCACGATAAAAACTATCGCCCACCTAGTTTTCACTGTATAGAAATCGCGAGAAGCAAATTCACAGGGAAGGTTTGGGTTTACTGTTGCCCTTCAAGCCTTCTTCTCCCATCAAAATCACAAGGCATGCTCCCTTGGGTTCTTCGGCGTGAGGTTTATACAGAAGAAAATCGGAACGCAAGGTGGCTTTTTTCTTTGAAGTCTTACTCTTCTTGGCTCCTGCTCATGAGTAGAGAGAGAGACTCTTTCTTGTAAGTCGGCATGATCTGACGACGGTGTCATTTCTCAAGTAGTAAAATCCTTTATAACCCTGTGGACGTAGGTAATTTGTCGAACTACGTAAATCTGTGTTCCGCTCTGTTCTTTCTTGATGTGAATTTTCTCGATTTATTTTTTCGCTTCGTCATCGATCGTTCTATATATACCACTAAAACTGAGGGGTAAAAAAAAAAAAAAAAAAATCAAATCGCAGTCTTCACTCGCAACCCGATCATCTTGTTCACCCATGTTGACTCAGGCATATGAGTCTCTCACAACTCATTCAACATTCATATCCCTAGACCTCCATCAATATCAACCTTCGCGTAGTGACACTTCACAATCATCTTCCACAAGATCTATGCTAAATGACCCACCAACACTTTTATCTTTCATAATTCAATGTAACCATTTTATTCTCTCCATATTACAACACTCGAAAAACCTTCGTCATTGTTCATGAGGGCCCAACATGTAGGGTCTAGCGTCGTCATGCGGAAATAATCACTAAATTGTAGAGAACATTTGCTAAATAAATCGACCTTCTAGAACTTAAAAACTCGGTATAAACAACAAAGAGCTATCATTAATTTAGAAGGTGCTGCCTTCTAAAGCAACCAGGGCAATTTAAATAGCAGTTATTAGATATTATATATTTACATATATAATACTTAAAATTTAATATTTACTCATCTAACAGTTTAGTTTCAATCACATCGAAACATATCAAAACAGGTGCACAAAAATATTTACATATTTTTTTTTACTTGAAAAAAATTCAGCATTAGTAATGTTTTTAATGCAATGTAAGTAAAAATCAAATTTTAAGTACTAGGTATGTAAATATATACAAATTGAGGTGTGTACCTTGATACGCAACCAAAAAAATTTCATCATTTTGCGTGAAGCTCAAGGCATGACACAAATCTTGAGACAACTTTTTGAACAAGAAACATTCAAACTTCAATTAAAAATCATCTAGAACTCTGATTTCAGCAAACTTATAGTCAAACTGACCGACTTGAAGAGGCGAACCTAATGATATCAAAGTTAATCTAATCCGAGTCAAATCAAGCCCAAATCAAGCGATTAAATCATTCTTGGAAGATTTTAGGACATTTAAAAGATAAAACAAATGTCGAATTTAGTGAGTTCATAGTTGAATCGAACGTCTCGACTAAACAAATCCAACGAGCCCAAGATTGCTCAATTCCGACATCATTACTACACTCAAACTTCCATCAAACGTCATTCGATCGAGGGAAGCTCTCCAGATCGTCCGATCAAAATAGTTAATATTCATGTATTAATTGCACCCAAAACACTATAAATAAAGCCCCACCCCTTACATGAAAGGAGGTTGGAGAGAACTTGAGGTTTTAAAAAGAAATTTAAGTCCAACATCATCCCTGCCATCACCGACCTCTATCAACCACTGTTGGCCACCGTCGACCATCGCTGACCTTTGTCGACCACCACCGACCTCCGTCGACCGTCATCAACTGCAGCAACCACTGCCGATCACCGCTGACCTCCGTCGATCATCGATGACCGTCATCGACCACTGCCGGCTGTCATCAACTGTTGTTGACAACCGCTAACCAAAAGTCATCAGTCTACGTTGTACCCTGAAAAATCTTGTAAACCTTTCTTGTCTGTGGGACAATGTGCCTCTATAATCATCAACTTATAGTGCATTTTTATAACTGGGCTAGGCCCCGTGATTTTTTTTTTTTTACGGGTTATCCACGTAAAAACTTATGGTGTCATCACGTGTTGATTCTCTTTTATTTGAGTGTGTTGAATCTTTGTGCAACGCTAAGACGATAATCCATTACTCTACCTCCGCAAATTTTCTGGCGCGCATCTCCTAAATCTAACAAAATTTTCTCATTTAAAACCAGCAATATAAATAAAATAAAAAATTGTAGACGCTGTTTATTGCGAAAAAGAAAAAGAAAAAAACAAAAAAAAAGATGAAATTTCATCTGTTTCCAACTCAGCAAGACATCAACAATTAGAAAAAGGGCCTCATTGATTTGATCTTTCGCTGCTTGATAGCACATCTAGTAACGGTAAAAAACGCCAAGATTGAAGATGAGGTTTCAGCTTCCATTCGTTTATCAAACTGCAGACGTCAATAATAGAAGAGAGATCCCACACATATGAGGGCATCAGTAAGTAGCAGTCCAAGCGCATCAAAAACATATTTCGGCGCAAATAAACCCCAAACCTATAAATAAGAAATTAGTTTAAATAAAAATTTGCAATAATACCTTTCACCAATTCACCTATTAACAGTCGCAGGATTAATGCAGCAGTAATTACTAAAAAAAGCAGAAGGAAAAAAGTAATGGAAAAATAGCAGTAGATGCAGATATAAAGAACTTGCCATTAAATGGCGCCTTTGAATTGTGACGCATATTATTGTTAGTGCAGTTGTGACTGCGGTAATAAGCCCATACATCAAGAACGCCTAGAAAAGAAAAAGAAAAAATAAAATATAATAAATAAAGAAACATGTTAGCTGAAAGTTATGATAAACAGAATGAAGTTTAGCTGCATAACAGGAAATAACATCCACACTAGCAAATAAGAGAAAAAAAAAAAGGTGAAACATAGTTGTGTTACATCCCCTTTAGTTTCCCCTTCCTAGGAAAGTCCATGAAAGTCTAGTAATCATGATTCAAATTGAAAAGGGAAACAAGTTGTTAAATCTCTTAATCAAAATCCTTTAGCTCAAGTTGAGTGGAGCAGGAGAAATAGAAAGCCTAATCCGAGGTATGATAAATTGGTTTACTCTTTCATTGCTTATTGTTATATTGTTAATATATTGTTGATAAACAAGAATTCATATCTTCTAATGAGTCTAAAGATAGTAATGCATAAGAAAACATCATGAAGGAGGGAGATCAATGCTCTCATGAAGAATGAGACATGAGATTTGGTTTCCTTAATTAATTGTGTCCTACTATTTGATGTTAGTAGTTATATTAAAGTACGTAGTACTGATAGCTTCATGTATGTAATTTTTGCAATGGCAATGCAAGAGCTGGCATAGTTAATTTAATTGCTTTGTTATATGTTGGCTATTTGCAAATAATAACTATAGCATAAGACTTTTTCTCTCTGTTGCAGTTTGGCGGACGTGGAGATAATGGAGGAGCACTGTTTAGATGAGTATCTTCTCTGAAGCTTTCGTCCGCCGCAGCGCGGATTATGTCTCATTTTGGAAGACGAACTTGTGCTAGCTTTGTGATCTATGTTCCGAGTTTGGTAGTGAAGAAGCACTCTCGCTCCTCTGCCCTGCACTTTCGCATCTCACCCTTCCCACTAAACTCTAATTTCGTCCTAGAATCTGCTGTTGAAACCATAATTACAATCTTCGATTAACTTACTGGTTGTTTCTTTACACTCCTGGAACGATCGTGGACAGCGAAGTGGCTTTTTCCGGCAACCTCGGTCCGAGAGAACTTCCAGGGCTCCGCCGTGAGGAAATGAGGGATGTTCGCATGGTTGGGGAGAATTGCATTGGCCTGCTTGGCCTTGGTCTAGAGGTATTTGTGTATAAACAACGATGAGGAAGCAGAGTATCAAATTTTATATTCAAACAATCATGCTGTTTTGCTGAACGTAATTTTATAATGGAGCTTTTTTGGATGGTGCTTTTAACGAAAATTTCTGAGCGGGAAAGCCCAGTCAAACGGGCCCTAAATCAGTCGGCTAGGAATATGGTGTTTCATGCAAAAACAATATTGCGTGATGGTCTAGAATTCAATCACTCCTTGCACCATCTATTATTCTCCTTACGATTTTTGTATACCGTTTCTATTTCATCTTCAAAGCAACCAATACCCGATTTCAAATTCCTTTCTCTTTTCAAGTTCTATGCAAATTGTGACTATTACAGGATTTAAAGGCTTCTTTGTTAGTAATATCATCCAATATAGTGTTCCATGTCGACTCTATTTGATACCGGAACTAGTCGAGATGTGGTGTAATACAAAAAGTAAACTTTCATTAATATAAAAATAGTTGTACAACACAACTCAACAAAAGAAAATACAATAACAGACAAAGCCATAGCTAGAGCTATAGGCCGATATTCGAAGGTGCTAGTGACGTCGGCAGGGTCAGCGGTCGTTGGGTAGGTAGGTAATTATGTGTAAATGGTTGTAGGTGGATTGGATGACGAGATCATTAAGGAAGTAGCGGTGGCAGTAGAGTGGTGGAGGAATGTGGGGGTGGGGGTGGTGGGTGGTGGGTGGCTAGTGGAGTGATAGGGAAAAAGGATGGGTGAGGAGTTCTTCATTCTATGCTTTCTAATTCATTTATCATAATTCCATATTAATTTATCAAATGCAAACCAATTTAATATATAAAAATATCTCAAAAATTAACCCAAACCCTTCGTCTTCATTGGCTCGATTTAGGCTCCCTCCTACGCTAAGCTGGTATGTTCGACACTTCCTCTTTCCCGCATAGAAGCCGCTCAACGTACACAGTAAAGGCGCACCGCATGCAAAACTCCATTCTTTCTTTCCTTCGCACAGGACGCAATCCTCCCTTGGCTTCTTCACCCACGACCTAAGAAAAAAGTCAAGGAGCTCACAACCCCCTATGCTTCACATCCTTCTTCTGCATATTTTTGCGTCGACTCTCTCCACTACAAGAAAGCCAGCGATTTCCAACTAAAAAATCAGCTGATAATCAATGATTTTCAGTCGGAAAAGTGGATTACCGACTGATTTACGACTGATTGTTGTCGACTGATAAAGCCTTTTGTCACACCACTTGAATAATTCAGTCATTGCTGTTTAGGGACTGATTTATTAGTCGCTAAGATGTATCAACTGAATAGCAACTGATTTTTCAATCTTTAACCAAGTATTGAAATAAAGGCCAAATTTTCATTCACAAAATTAACAACCGAATGAACGACCGATTAGCGGTTGAATAAGAGATCCATTAGCGACTGAAAATTTACTAAATTAATGACTAAAATTTCACTGAATTATTGACCACTATATCAACTGCAGACTAGGAAAAAAAAAATGAGGTTAAGAGGACTGAAAATTTAGTGAATTAACAAATAAAAATTCACTGAATTAGTGACCAATATATCAGCTGCAAACTTGTAACAAAAATAAGGTTATAGGAGTAAATTAAATTTTGCATAGATGCAATACCTCAACAAAATAACTATGAACCATATTCGCAATATCTCATAGCTCTAATATAGACAACAAAATTGAAAGAAAACAAAGTAAACATAACAAATATCAACAAATTATCCAATAACCATTAAGTTCAATAATGTTCGCAACCTAAATGAAATAACACTACACATGCATGAAAAAAAAGAAAAACTAATTGTGCTGCTGCTCATCATCCTCCTGCTTGTTCTCCTCGATCATAGGTCGTTTGCTATGATGACGTGCGAGACGCTGAAGCTATGCAACAGTTGCCTCGGGCCTATCTACCATGCCATCCTTGATTTCCTTAAGCTCCTCACTAAAGTCGATGCAATGGCTCAAGTTAAAGGCATACCCGCTAGGAAATTTCAGAGACAAATATCATTTTCAGATTGTTCTTGGTCGCTTCAAAGTAAACAATATTTGAATTTAGACATTATCAATTTACCCGCAACTATCGCTTAAAGTTTCAACTCCCTTCTTTCGCAATACTCTTTCAAGTCTAATATATACCTTTAACAATTTTCCTTAGTTTTTCCCTTAACATTAACACAATATTGAAGATATTATCGAAAAAAATTCTCAATGTGTATGACATCAATATTATGTCTAATCAAATTGGTCATCCAATACAATATACTCCAAAAAATACTCATTTTAGTCAAATTATGATTAACACCAAAATCTAAAAAATGTAGAGATAGTTCTAGAGAATCAATAATCTTCATAATTACACTAATCATCTGTCACAAATCATCCCTAATTATCTCTGGCGAATGTCTTAATTTCTCAACTCTATTTTTAAGAATGCATCTTTAATCATTTTAAATGAATGATCAATAGGTAGGAACATTCGGTGACAGTCGAACCATTAATTTTTCGTCATGTTTTAAAGTAAAAGTTTTGTATAAATCCATACAATATGGGCAAACTAATTTTCCATCCTAAACATTTCATCTGCAGAAAAATCATTTATTGTCTGCATTAGGGCGACTTTCATTTGAAAATTTTATTTTGATACAATATCACAAGTGACAACATCTATTTCCCATAATAATTTAAGCTTTCATTTTAAATGTTGTAAATATACATCAATCTTTTCCTTCACGATCTGTGGATCAATTATGACTAAGGTGAGAAACATTAAAGGCATAGTCATCACCTACCAGCATGAATAGGGTGAGAAGACTCGAATAGATGTGAAATCTTCTTCACATAAACCAAGTCTAGCATTACAGGAATTTTCTACAAATTCGGGTTAAATACGATCAAACTCTTTACAGGCTTCTCCATTCGCCACATGAATCAATAAATTATTCACATGTTTGATTTTGAATTCATCTCATATGAGGAGCAGTACACACAAATAGGAATAGTTTTTGAAGTCGTGAAATGAGAGGCAAGTAAAACCAACGTTTGCATGAAATATTTAATTACGTATTACCATAAACAGTCATTATGTCTTCATTACGTCACCATAAAACTACCATTGTGTCTTCATTACGTCAGCTCAATAATACAACATGCTAAACAGTCATTAGTACAACAATCCAATTTCTTTGATGTTAACCTTAACTTCGACACCAATATCTTCATTTTATACCAATCCTCTCGTACTAAATTTTCATTGGGATTTATCGCCTTCAATAACCCTGCAATTTGGTTAAAACATTCTCTAGGCATATTATAATCTGATTTAATACTCAACATCCTAAGTGCCACTGTTAACATATAGTGCATTGTTTAGCCTTCCCATAACGTCTGTTGTACGACATTCAATAATTCATAAAATTTTTGAGCTTCTCTATTTAATATCTCGTCCAGAGCCACTTACCCAGTAAAGTAAAAACTATTATATCAAATATTATTTCCTCAAATTTGGTGGGATCATATTCATTTGTAGGGGCAAAATTTGTTGAAGCGCTGTCGGCACAAAAAAGGAGAAAGTTATGTTTGTGGGTCGCCCGTAAGAAGCTGTCGACAGCTGGAATCGAAATCTCATCGCCCGCTTCGGAAAGACGTTTTAATTTACGTGTATATATATATATATAATTTTAGAAAAATATGAAATCAAACTGACCTCATATTTTTCGCAGTTTAAATGAAATAGCGCTCTACCTCAAATCCTGTATCTATCCCGA